CTTCCAGTATGTCTCAACCTTGCCGCCGATCTGCAGCTGCGCGCCCTCGAACGGCCGCACAACAAGGAACTCAAATGTCACTTCAGCCACCAGTTTAAGATACCGGTCAAGCAGCGGCAGCCGCGCAATACCGCTGCTGTTGCTGCTGCTGCTAGACGACCCACTGTTGAACAAGCTAGGCAGCGCCACAGCCTTCCCGATGGGCTGCAGACCAAAGCTCGGATACAGGAAAAACTCGAGCCGGAATTTCGTCGAGTCGTCGGTCTGGAACCCAAACGTCGTGCTGGTCGACTCCAGCGGCAGCATCACGGTATGTGGCACCATGCCGGCATCTGGCTTGGCCATTACGACTAGCTTTAACGACATCATGTCACAGTCATCGAAGAACGTTACCGGCTGCCTGTCCATGCCTCGCCGAGACATCATGCGGATCTGGATTTGCGTGCGCTTGCCCAAGAAATTGTGGCCGTAGACGCGGAACGGGATTAAAGGCGGCGGCAACGAGAGTGACGGAATGCCGTCGAGATCCAACTCTGCCATGTCATCGTTTCCGTCGCCACCTGTCTGCGTCTGGAGCTGGATCTGCTCCTGCTCTTCGACAGTGGGGAGCACGCTGGCAACATCAGTGGCCTCGCCGTCCGCGCGGCGACTCGCCACAGTGCTTCTGCTGGCCGCCTCAAGCAAAAGATCGACGCTATCCAAATGACCCTCATAGGCTGCATAGTACACCGGCGGCCGGTTGTTCTCATCCGTCACCCCCAGATCGCATCCAGCGTCCACCAGGATACGGATGCAGCCGATGTTACCCTCGCTTGCCGCATAAAACACTGGTGTCCACCCTAGATCCTTGTCGGCCACATCAACCGGCGCGCCGTGCTCAAGCAACAAGCGTAAAATATTAACCGACCCCGTTCTGGCCGCAACATGGGCCGGATGCACACCCTGCGAGTTGGCCATGATTTCAGACCCCGCCTCCAAAAGAAGCGTCACAATGTTGTCGTGGCCCTTCTCGCAAGCGAGGAGGAGCACAGGGTAGTCCAGGACATCCTCAGTGATTACGCTGCGGTCATGAGAAATGAGCAGCTGCACGCAATCTGCATGTCCGTTGGAAATTGCATAGTCAAATGCCCGGTCGCCATCATCGTCAGTCGCCGTCACGCTGTAGCAGCCCTGGTTGAGCAGATACTCGATGCATGCCGCGTGGCCGTTGATCGCCGCGTAATGCATCGGGCGCCGCCCATAGTAATCTGCCTTGTCGCCGTCAACGCCAGCGGCCACGGCAGCCCGAAGAATGCACGCGGAGCCGTGGATCGCTGCCTCATGCGCGAGTGTGCGCTCGTTGATGTCATCGGCCGATTGAAAATCCACCATCCCCGTGTTAAGGAGCAGCTGCCGCTTGTCTTCGTCCTTGAGCTCAGAGCAGGCCCGCCAAAGGACGCGGGTCACGCACAGTTTGGCCACCCCAGTTTGATGGGCTACCAGAGTGGCCAACATGTCCTTTGCAATTTGTGTAGAGTCCAGCAGCAGCGCGTAAAAAAGCTCTGCCTCCATCCGGTCGATTTGAATGTTGCTAGCCAGGCCACCGTCAATCAGGAATGTAGTGCTAGTACGCCGGAAAAAGCTCGGGAACTTTCCGGTGGCATCACTACTGGGCGCAGACAGATCAGTCTGTAGCTGCTGCCCCTGCTCCTGCTCCTGGACATTAAGCTCTGGCTGTGGCTGCGCTTGCGTCGGCGTCAGGATGTGCGGATAGAGTGCAGAGCGGAATGCGGGTGACGGCACCAGGTCGCGCTGGCTGGGCATGGCGGTCGGCGCCATAAGTTCAGTGTCCTCCTCCAGCACATGCTCCAGCTCACTGAGGCACTTTGTTACAGTATCCGAGAACTCAGCAATTACATCCTGGTTAAAGCATGGCTGCACGTCCACCTGTCTCGCCAAGTATAGCTCCTTCGTCGACGACTTTGACCGCTTGTCCCACTTTTTCAATATCTTCCTGAAGCCAGTGCCGTTAATCTCCACGAAATTCTGCAACTTATCCAGGTCGTGCCTCGAGTGTATAAAAGCCTCGCGCAGCGCGCGGATCGTGGATATGCGGTTGCGTGGGCCACGTGCAATGAGAGACTTTTGCTTTTCGATGAGCGACTTTAGCCGCACCTTGGCGTCGGCCTCCTTCCGCAAGTAGAATAGGTTGACCTTTTCGAGCTCACGGTCGACTTGGAAGAAAAATGCGGCTTTGACTGTCTGCAGCCGCCGCTTCGATGCCTCGGTCGGGTTGACGCCGGGCGAGAGCGGTGCGTTGAGCTCTTTGATTATCTTTTTGAGACCCTTGTAGCTCATGTAGTGAGCGGACCACTCGGGGATGGTCTGCGCCTGGATGTGCTTGCCAAACTACATGGAGTAATGGAAAAAAAAATAAAAATTAGTTGTTTGACTTTGACCAAGTCTTTTGGCGCATACTTTACGCTGTTTTTCTCACGGCGCACGACCATGGTGCGGCTTGTGGTTTGTGGTCTATGGTTAAGAATATGTATGTACGCTACCTTCATTTTAGCGCTGAGCTGAGCAGAGTGTGGGTATGCGACTATCTATGTTGTGATGTATGTCGTGGCTGTTGGTTCAAGGCCTCCGAGTGTTGTTGCGTTGTTGCTTGTTTGCTGGTGGTGGTAGTGGCGGCTGTTGTTTTGTTGTTGTTCTGGCGTGCTCCGTGTGCGAATTGAAGCTTTTTGTCTTTGCTGGTCGATACAAAGTAGAAAATATAAATACGCAAAAATAGGAACAAAAATGTATTGTAAATAAAATAAAGAATAGTGGATAAAAAGAGAGAGGGAGAAAATTAAAAAGAAAGTGCGACTGAAAACTGCCCAGTGCCATTCTTTGTGCGGTCGCTATAAAAAACATGGGCTAAAAACACCCGCCAACCACGAGATGAGAAGTCACAAATTCCAGCGTTTTGCCCCCCTGGCTTATATTGGCTCAAAAATCCATGTAAGCAAAAATGTTCAACAGGAAAAGGCATTCATTCATTTCCCAGGCGAAATGCCGCGTAACCTCCCTCATCTTCTCAGAAACGACATCATCATCGTCATCATCCTAATTATAATTGGCAGCAGCCAGCCAGAGCTTGAACACACGTGCGAGATCTGTTCCAGCGCCTCACCACCATCACGGCTAATTTTCCCAAAAACCAAAAACCAAAACTTGTTTTTATTTTGTAAACCGTTGCTTTCTTTTTTGAATAAGGGTGCGCACACAAGTTACATAATGGCCAGGCTCGTGAAGATCTTGTGGTCTCGATAATTGGGAGCCTTTGCTGGATCAATCAGCAATGGTACATATTGTGCATTCGTGCGCGAGAAAAGGAAATTTCAAAGTTTTGTCGACCTCATTGTCTAATTTGATTACATTGTTCACCTGACATGCGCATGCATGTTTACATGATGGCCAAGCAAGGCGAGGCAAGGCGAGGCATGCGGACATAGCAGCATTTTCTTTTTTAGCGCACACCTTTCGCGAAATAGCCGTGGCCGTTAGCTCTTGCACTCTTTTGTACTCTTTTTATACTCTTACTCTCTTGCTGTGAACAGACTTGGAGGGAGGGGGAGAGGGGAGCACAAAAGAGAGATCCGGGTAGCAACACTGTTATTTGCTCTAATTGGCAAGTGTATCTGCTTTGACTTGTGCGCAATAATACTAATCTTGCACAATTGAAGTGCATGCAATTATGCAAGCCAAGACTCGGATCCATCTATCACTGCTGATAAAAAGACGCTTTGTCCCCACTTGTAATTTTTTTTGGGCAAGTGAAGAAAGGAGGAAAGGGGGAGCAGGCCAAAAAAGATGTGCACGAGAAAACTTGTCTGTTGCGCATCGCCAGAAGCATAAAACCCCGACAGGTTTTTGCTCAGCCCACATGGCCTCTTTCTTTTTTTTACTCTTCATGCAATTATTGCAAGTATTTTTATACCACTCTTTACTCGCCACTTTCTCTACTTAAGACATTGCCTTTTCCTGCCAAACGCATATATCCCCTCTGTTAGACGCAGCTTTTTACCTTGTAACCCAGCCCAGCCCAACCCAACTCAACTCGACACTATAACCAAATCATAAACATGGATCGCCCTTCATCAGACCAGCACGCCCGAATCCGTGATGCCGTCAGCATAGCGCTGGCAACCAAGCCTCTGGCCGCCGCGCAAGACGCATTTATCAAGTTTCCCAGCGCCACAGATGACACCAGCGACCAGCTGCAGTCGACAATGAGAAGGTTCCGCAGTCTGAGCGTGAACACCAGGGAACGCGCCGCGTGGTCTGAGGACACTGTCAAGCGCAAGTATCCCATGGACAAGACCGTCGAGCTGTACCAGTTCTCGTCTGTTTTTGAGACCGCCGATCTCAACCAGATACTTGAGCCATACCAGCATCACCGCTGTGAGCGCGGCGGGTATCGCTTGAAATGGCTGGACGAGGCTCGTGCCTTGGCCGTTTTCCGCCGTGCGGAGACTGGTAAGTGGTTTCCATTTTTTATTCTGCATATTAGTACTTGGTATTGCCCGTGATCTACGTTGCCTTTTTAGTCTGCGCCTGCATTAAAGCATGCGCTTGTGCTTGTGTATGTGTTTGCGGCACGCACGCACATTAGTTTTAGTTTCTAATGCCTCTGCCACTATTTGTCCTCAAATCCCTTGTCAAAATTGCCAATTGCCAATTTATAACTGCTATCTACTATCCCCTCCCACCCCAAAAAAACACACGCTGCTGCTGCTTGTAAATATATATGAGTGCTACTAGATCTCCCCCTCCCCCAACGCAGTAGATAAGGGCTAGTTTGTCATTGTTTGGTGTGCCGTGTGATGTTTATTTATTTTTAAGTCGATGTTTCTCTCTCTCGCGACAATTGCCGTGCATTATGCAATTGCATTATATCCCGAATCCACTTTTTTTACTTGTTATCTGAAGCTTTTAGCCATTGTTTTAGGCCAAAAGTCAAGAATAGTGCGTGCGCCCGAGATAACTCGAGCCCGGCGTTCTACTCAAAAAATCCAAAAATACACGAGCACAATTTCACATTGTTTGCCGACCAAACAATTGCAATGAATAGAACCCGAATTGCGAGCCGTGCCCACTGCGCCATCCAATTTTGACCTCATTGTGCAGAAAACGCCTTGATCAATTGTGCTAATAACAAGCACAATGCCTAAAGATTTGAAATCTGTTGCCATCTTTGGACTACGTTGCCAGCAGATGAAAAAAAACATGATTATAAACTCCGAAAATCACCGATATGCGTGCCCTTTATCCATCTGCATTTGTCAATTTCCGATTCAATATTGATTTATTATGATCCCAGTTTTGTTTAAATTTGCAATTTTTCCTATTAGCCCAGCGCGTGATCGAGGATCTGAGCGCCAGCCAGCTGGTCAGGGTCAAGAACTATTCATTCAGCATTTCGGATTTGGCCGACTTCAACAAAAAGTACGGCGAGCAGCCCCCCAGCCCGCCGGCGGTCATTTCGACCGCCACCACGGCCGCGCCCTCGCAGACAAGCTCGCCACATCCTGGATTCGATGTCGACCACATCCGCTACAAGTACCGCCCCGAAGTTACTATCGAGCTGCATGACTTCCCCTGTCCCCTGGAGACAGCTGACCTGCAGGGGCTGTTTGCAGGATACAAGCGCGACAACAACATCTGTCGCATACGCTGGTTTAACCGGAACCGCGCGCTGGCATGGTTTACCAACCCGCAGGTTGCCGCCGAGGCGCTCAATGGCTTGAAAACCTGTGAGCTGGTTCACGTCAAGCCCTACATATTCGAAAGCGCCGACATTAAATACTTCAACCCTGACTACAAAATGTCCGATATCGCTAGCGGTGGCACCTTGGCACGCAGACGTACTATCGGCGCTGGAAGCAGCAACAGCGGGGTGGCCCGCCGCAACACTGTCAGCGGAGCCTCGCACTATAACCGCGGCCAGATGTTTGCCGCCACTGTCATGTATGGTGCCATGCCGACCATCCCATCTATGCTGGGTGTTATGACGCCCAGTACAACCATCAGCCAGGCAAGCAGCGCGGTTGCTAGTGTGGATGTCAGTCCGATGCCGCTCGCTCGCAGGCTGCGCAGATTCACAAAAGGTGACAACTAGATTCTGGGCCACCCTGGGCCGTCGACGCGCATCAATCTGCGCATGCCAATTTTTATTTCCTGTAAACCTCTACTTTATGTCTTTATGATGACACCAGAGCCGCTCGGAACCTCTGTCATTTCCACTTGTTTATTAGTTTGTTTTCTTTTAATCATCTTTCAGTTTTCAAAATTTCAATTTCTCATGCTTCATCTTCACTTCAAACCGAAAAGAGCAGAATAAATCCTGAAAACCAACTTTATCAGACCGTGTTCCTTGCGTGTAGAAGTTGAAAACCGATTGGTATATTTTTAAGGAATATTTTTATAGACATCTTACTCGAACACATCCTTGAGGGGATCCACAGGCATCGGGTTGGCCTTGACTCTGGCCTCCCGCTCCTGGTTGCCGGCAACACGCGCGGCGTGCTTCGCAGCCTGCTGGTTCCGGACACTGGCGCGCATAACATTGGGCGAAATGTACTTGGGGTTCTCGTACAGAGTAGGGCCGCCAAAGCTTCCCTCAAAGATCCGAATAGTGTTGAGCACAAAGCGCGGCCCGATCTCAATCAGCGTAGGCTTATCATCCTTGGCCATGTCACCGCCGGTCTGCGCGTCCTTCTCGACAATTTGGTAGTTGCGGAACCAAATGCGGCCATCGACTATGCTGAAGGTAAAAACATGGTCGAAGAATGGCTTGCTCTTGCGCGCGCCCTTGGGCACAGCAAAAGTCTGCGTCAGCACTTCCTTGAGCAGCTGCATATGCGGCTCGGTATCGAAGTTGGAGTCAAACGACAGGATCGGCCGCGAACCCTTGAGGCAGTTACCGGTCATCTTCAGCTCATCCATCGTGTGGATGTTCTGCACGTGGAACTTGACGCTGGGTCCCGAGGGCGCGCGCGCAATCCACAGGTACAGATCAGTGTGCTTCCTGGCCTCAAAGTAGAATACATTGTTACAGCCCTGGATCTCTGCCAGCTCGTTCAGAAGTTCCATCTCCTTCTTGGCCTCGATCTTGGCCTCCTTCTTCGAATGCGGGAGCAATGCCTCGAGGTCGTTCATCAGATGGCGATGGCGATATGTGACTCCACGGCTGGCTACCAGCAACACGCGTTGTTTGATGTTTGACTTTCTCTCCTTCTCGTCGATCAGGTCCTCAACATCCATAAACTCGGACTGTGCTGTCTTGTAGAGAGTGGCCATATTGAATTGATAAAGAGAGATAGAGCAGAAACTAGGTGTATGTGTTGAATGCAAAAAACGGTGCGCTTTCCGAAATTCAGGCGGCTGAAATTAGAAAGAAAATAAACTAGAGGAAAAATAATATATTCGTTACAATAAAAAAGAAGAGACTATGCCACTTCAGCTGTTGTTTTTCTGTACTTTTAATTTTTCTTTTACACTTTGCACCAGAAAATTTTCTCAAGCAAACAAAAAAAAAAGCAGTGTACAAATTCGAATCAGAAAGGAAAAAAAAAGTTTCATGATCGGCTGATTAAAATTAGCAGGATCACTGATCGGCACTCCTTTTTCAAATTGAATATCCATGTTTACACTTATTCTGCAGACAAACATGGCGCCTGTACAAGTGACAACAAATAAAATGTGATATTGAAATTGTAAAAAAAGAACTAATTACCAAAAAGGCAAACTCACTACAAAACAACAGAAATATACGCAAATGGCTGCAGCAGCGGAACGGATACACGGTTTACTCGTCCTCCTCCATCTCCGAGGGCTTGATCATTCCTGGAATCTGCTTCGCCAGCTCGGCCTCCTTCTGCTTCTTTTCCTCGTTGCTGCGCTCGGTCTCCTCGAGGAAGAGGTCAGCATTGTCGCCGGCAAACTCCTTGGTCTGGATGAGGAAGTCGCGCACATGACTGCGGAACTTCTCAAAGTCCTCGTTGTAGCTAAACAGGCCCTCGACAAACAGCTCGATCTGGCGCGAATTCAGGTTGGCGAACGCCGTGGCCAGCAGGTTGGCGATGGATTGGCGCACAAAGATGGTGTTGACCATGCCTGCGTTCTCCGGAAGCGAGGGGTCATACAGGGGCGCTGTGATCTGGTTGGACTCGACGAGCAGAATCATGCGCGCAAGCACCATGCACTGAAGCCTGAAGCTGCCCTTGTGGTCATTGTCGCTTAGCACAACGATGATCTCGTTGAGCAGCTCGACAAAGTACGTCTGGAAGAACGCATCCGAGATGACGCGGTCGCAAATGTTAAAGTTATTAATCATTTCGAGCGCGATTGTCAGGCCCAGGTCAGCGACATCGCGTAGCGTGTGCTTGAATCCCCACATGATCGACATGATCATGAACCGGAACTGCTGCGGGGGGAGGTTCAGCGTTGCGGTGAAACACTTTTGGTTGATAGTGCGCAGCAGCTGGTAGATGGCCAGGCGGTGCTCCGGGTACTCAGTAAAGTCCTGGTTGATCATGTTCATCGTGCTCTCAAAGAGAGAGTCGAAGACGATGGGGATCTTGTCTGTCATCAGGCTGCCAAGAGTGGCCGTAATGGTGTTCACTGTTTTCAGCACCTCTGCGTCGCGGGCCGGAGGCACATTCTGGGCGTAATCGGCAAGCACGGCCTCGAGAAGCGGCGGCACCATGTCCTTGTTCACCTGCTCGATCTCGCCATCACAGTGCTTGACGTAAGTGTCGACCAAGTGCAGCGCCTCCTTCTTGATGGTGCGCATGGCGCGCACATTAGCGTATCTTGTGGCAATCTCGCCATCGCGCGCAATGCAGCCCGAGATGATCTCCGAAACCGCCTTGTACAAGCCGAGCATGTCAATGTAGTTGTGACCTATCTGCGTAATAAAGCCCTTACCCACGGCACCGCAGGCAGAGACGTTGGTGCGCAGGATGTTTCCGAGCTGCTTGACGACATTGAGGTCTTCGAGAATGTGGATGTCCTCGCTGGCGCGGTTCACAATTGTGCTCCACTGGTCGTTCGTGGGCTTCATCAGGCCGCTGATCAGCTGCGCCTGCGTGGCTGAGTTGAGCTGTGCGCTGATCAGGTAGCCGACTGCCTCGCAGAAGCGGTTGACCTGCTGCGGTTCGAGATCAGACGTAATCGATTTGGCGTTGGCGATAATCTCCTCGACGAACGGGCAGCTCTCTCCGGGCTGCTGCGCAATAAAGTGGCGGCGACACTTTTGCGCGATGGTAACAAACGTGTCGCACGCCATGTCGCGAACACCCTCATGCAGTTCATGCATAAACTCGAACAGCTTGTTGGCGACAGTCTTGAGGAACTTCCAGTGCGCCTTCAAAAAGCGCGGGTACTGGCCGACCACATACATGATGTTGGAGGCGACGACTGCCTTGTTGTCCTTTCCACGCTTGAGCTCACACAGGCTCAGCAGATCCTTGATGATGATCACTAGCACGCGGCGCTCCTGGTCCTCGCTCATCGAGCCCGAGATCGAGCCAATGGCCCAGCACAGCTTGTTGAGGTTGCTCCACGACCACTCTGACCCGTCCATCTGGCGACCAAGCTTCTCGACCATGATGTTCTCCATGTCCTTCGGATCCAGATGTGTGAGGTAGATCAAGCACTCGCGCTGCGCCTTGTACAGAACAATCGTGTCGGTCTCCTTAATGAATTCGCGCACAATCTCGCCTTCGTCGTTCTCGACGATAAGCACCTCCTCAGGGCGAACCATGCGGCTGATCATGACGTAGCGCACGCCAGTCAGAATGCCAGAGTACATCTGGCGGCGTACTTCGACCGTCATGCCGCCAACGTTGTCGCTGGCTGGGCCGTTGCCGAGGTTGAGCAGACTCGACGGCGCGTTGAAGGGGGCGTTGCGGCTGTCTCCGTACAGGCGGCGCACCAGTTCGTTCCAGTATTCAAGGCACACCTTGAACATCTCGCGCTCATCGACCTGCGTGATGCGCAGCAGGTACTCGTGGGCCTGGATCACAACCTCGCGCGTCGCCGAGGACTCCACCAGACGCAGGTGGGATGTAAGGAAGCTCGTCAGGAACATGGCCACGTTCTGGATAAACTCCTGCTCCTCGTTCTCGTAGTCGTCCCAGACCGAGTCAATGTTGGCAAGATCGCCCAGCGTCGCGCGCAGGGCCGTAATGGTCATTGAGAACATGTTCACATACTGCTCCTTGTACTCCTCGCCGCCATCCAAACCGCCAATCTCGGTCAAACACTTGATGGTGATGTTACGAGTGACCTGCGACTGCAGGAAGCGGGTGCACAAGTTGTTGATCAGGTTCGTCTCGAAAATGTATCCGAACGGAATCCAGCTGAGGAAGCGCAGCAGCGTCTCCAATGTGGCCAGGATCAGGCTCGGTTGCTGGGCCTTCTGGAGGATCTCCGTGCACAGCTCGTAGATCGAGCTAAATTCGCCGCACATCTGCGTCTTAAGGTTCTTAGTCTTTGCCTGTGTCATCTGCTCTGCCGAAAAGTCGAACACCTCCTCGCTGAGCAGTTTGAGGATCGCCATGTTGTTCTCGCACAGCGCCAGGTTTGTCCTGCTGGTCTGGACAATCTCGGGGATAAAAGTCGGCCAGTTGTGCGGCCACTCCTGCTTGAGGATCTGCACCAAAATGAGGTTGAGCTTGGTCAGGTACACTTTGTTCTGACGGAGCGACTCCTCAGTCGAGGCGGTGTGCAGAATAATCTCAACGATAAAGTTTTTAATGCCCGTGCGCTGCTCGGCGGGCAGAATCTTCCACTTTGTCTGAATGAGCTGCCCGAGAATCTGCAGTGCAATGAACTACAGGGTTTGAAAGGATACGGAGATTGTGGCTGCAATAATTTAGCAAAAAAAGATGGTTTGATAATTGCAGAGCGCAGAGCAAATCGCGTGTGTTTTTGTCATGTTTTTTATATGTTTTGTGTCGAGCGCTATGATTAATGTACCTTTGACTGGGATAAGGTCGAGTTGGTCAGAATGCTATCCGCCCGGGTCCATGAGAGCTCGTTTTCCTGGAACTCGTTCAGGATCTGCTGGGCCATCTTTTGCTACAAGTTGTGTAAACAAAAATCAATGGGTAGTTGTGACCGTAGTTGCGATGATATTGATTAGTGCGTGTGATAATGGTGAGGAGAACTTTTACTTGAAAATAAGTGCGTTTCAGGCATAAGGCACCAAAAGCGGGCATGCCTATATCGTTGATAAACTTACGTCGTTGCCTTTGCCGTTGAACATCGCGTCAACTACGCGGTCGAGCAGCGCGATGTCGAACTCGCGGTTGAAATCGAGTAGTGCCTATACTGGGAGAAAAGTGCATATGCAATACACCAAAAAATCAAGAAAAGTGGTTGCTACCGTCGCTTTAAGTTATTCAAGGTTGCAGAGGTGATTTTGTGGCAATGATGGTGATGGCAATAAGCGCAATAATGAGCGCAACACGGCTAGTCGAGCAGCGGCGCTGCCATCAGCTAACTTGGGTTCTTGCGTACCTCCATGATCCAAACAAAACTATGCTTTGCGCCAGGTTAGCAGGCTTGAAGAGCAAATAAATGCAAACAGAAAGAGAGAAAAACACGGTGCGGCGCTTGGTCTCCTTTCAAGTAGAAAAGTGGGGGAGTAAAGTGAGCTGAAATTCTCTTTTTGAACGTGCCAAATGGGAAGGAACGCAAAAATAAAAGTAGGAATTGAAAATTGTTCCCAACAGAATTGAAAGGGTGGAAGAAATTCGACAATAATAAAACAAGAAATTTTAAAAATAAGGCGAACAAAAAAGAAAAGAGGAAAAGGGTAAAATCTCGCGGAAAAAATGCGATTTTATAAACACAAGTCGCGGGCTTATTTTCATCTCTTGTCTGTGGAAAAAACCCGAACATTTTGAATTTTGTAAAGCCCTTTCCTTGTCTCAGACCAGCACAAAACGGGCGCGTTAGTTTCCTTTTATGTAGAATTTGGATCTTTGCTTTTTTCTTTCTGCGCAAGCTGAAGGGGATAAAAACAACAACATTGGCAGCAACAGCAGGGGCTGGAGCAAAAACAAGTAGACATGCTTAGTTTTTTCTTGGACAAGCCAATTTGGCATGTCATGGTAGATGAAAGCAGGCCGGTATGTGCGCAAGCATCGTGAAAGTCTGCCCTGCCAGTCAGCAGAACCAAAGCATCGATTTTCCAAAGTGCCCAGGTTTGTTTGCTTTGCATGCCCAAACTCAGCTGCTCTTGCAATGAAGCACAGCTTTGGGCAGACTCAGACTAGAATATTTTTGCGTGCGTTTTCCGAAAACGAAAACGAGACGACTTTTTAATGGGGGCGAAGAAAGCGGAGGAGGGCCGTGAACTTCTGAATTCGGTTGAGCCACAGTTGCTGATCTAATCCAATTACACGTTGTGATTAGATTTTGATGGCGAGTTTTTTCTTCTTTGCGCGTCAATTTGTTCAAACAGACGACACATAACGCAAATAGCAGCGAAGTTGAATTTACTGGTGGGCTATAGAGAAGGCAGCCTAGCGAGAGGGAAAATGGGCGAAGCTGCCAGCCTTGGTTGAGTTACACTCCTTTTTATCGCTACAGATCTTGTCCGAATCTATAATATAAAAAATGCCGCCCAAGTTCGATCCGTCTGTTGTCCAGATCAGTAAGTGAATTGCATCCAACGCAGAATCGCCGCATCCATCGCAGGGACACGCTTTTAGAACCGAAAACGGAAGTTGCAAAATTCAACAAAGTATGGAATTTCGAAATGTGGAATTTCGAAATTGGAATTGGGATTTCGAAATTATACAACTGAGCCAAATTCCATAATTGAGCGACAGCCCGCACAAAGTTGGCCCAGAAGGATTGGGGTTTGCCTTACTAAGCCCGCGTGAGGCGGACGCAACAGTGAGCGTGGGTGTGTTGTTGGCGAGCTGCGCAGACAGGGCAGCACTAGATTCGAAACCAAATCTTGTTAGTATAACAGGCCATTGTGTTTTGCAATTGAGTCTGCTGTCCTTGTGCACACAACGACACTCAGCGCGAGGGCTGGAATGGAGCGGAGAGGGGTTGTGTCTTGCAACAATGACTTTGGGCGATTCATAACCATTGGGTTTATGCCTGGAATTTGCTTTGCATTGTCTCAATCCCCTTTTTGTTTTATATTTCCACTCATTGTGGGAAACTGGTCTTACTTTTGGCTTGTAGAGGCTGCTTTCAGCAGAGTACAGCCTAACATTGCTTTTCTATGACCTATGTGCGTCCGAAGCCGGCGGCGAATTGTGTCGTGTTGAAACAATTTTATACACGCATGAGCAACCCACCCCCTATCCATTTTGGCATCTGAAAGCGACCAGTCCTGCGATTTATGCAACTGTCGCACTTATCAAACAACCTTGTTACAGGCAGTGTGAGGCTGTAGTTAATCACACTGCACTTGCTCGGAGCAATCAGTACTAACAACAACGCATTCTCTATCACAACTTTTTTATTGTAGTCACCCTCCGCGCTACCGGTGGTGAGGTCGGTGCCTCGTCCGCTCTTGCTCCCAAGATCGGTCCTCTTGGTCTCTCCCCCAAGAAGGTTGGTGAGGATATTGCCAAGGCCACCAAGGACTGGAAGGGTCTGCGCGTCACCGTTCAGCTGGTTGTCCAGAACCGTCAGGCTACCGTCTCGGTTGTCCCCTCGGCCTCTTCCCTTGTTATCCGCGCCCTCAAGGAGCCCGTGCGTGACCGCAAGAAGGAGAAGAACATTGTCCACAACGGCAACATCTCCATCGATGATGTTATCAGCATTGCCAAGATCATGCGTGAGGCTGACAAGTCCCTGGCCCGTGACCTCAAGGGTACCGCTAAGGAGATCCTCGGCACCTGCTTCTCGGTTGGCTGCACCGTCGATGGTGAGAGCCCCGTTGACATCCAGTCCAAGATTGACGAGGGTGAGGTCGAGATCCCCGAGAACTAAGTTTAATGTTTTTTCTCTTTTACGAACAAATAACATTTTTCTTTTTATTTAAGCACATCTTATTGACATTAAACAATTGGTTTTCTATATTACAAATGAGCAGTGGTGGTGATACATACATATTAAACATGTATATCCGATTCAAGTACCTTTTAAATTTGAGCTTTGGCAAAAAATATCTTTGAATTGATGATATTGAAGAATAATGAAACAAGAGAAATTGAGAGAAAAATATTTGAAAACCAAGTAACATTATAAGAACAGACTTGCAAGGGAGAGCAGCTCCAATGGATTTTGTTTGCTTAGAGCTCGTCATGATCAATCTCGGCAACAGGTGCGCTGACGACCTTCTCGGCCTCGGCCTCAGCGTGGACGTCAAATTCAGCATCAATGCCGGCCTCGGCCTCGACCTCGCCCTCGATGTCGATCTCCTCGTGGGCCTCAGTATCAGCCTTCTTGGTATCGGCCTTCTTAACGACTTCCTCCTCCTCCTCGATATCGTCCTCCTCCTCATCGATATCCTCGTCATCCTTATCCTTGAGGTCATCCTTGTTGTAGGTGATCTTCTCGGCAGTGTTCTCCTCAACAAATTCAATCAGGGATTCGATAGAGCGGTTACCGTGGTACTCGACAATAGCGTTGTCCTCGCCACGGATCAGGACAATAGTCGGGAAGCCCTGGATCTGGAGAGCAGGGTCCCCCGAAGGAATGTCGTTGGCAGTGGCATCCATCTTGGCAATGACCAGGTTCTTGTTGTCCTTGAGCACGCTGCCGAGCCTGTCGTATATGGGAACCAGGTTCTTGCAGTGGCCGCACCAGGGGGCGTAGAACTCGAGCAGAACGTCCTTCGTCTTGTCGAAGACGACCTCGTTGAACTGCTTGGTAACCAGGACAAATACATTGTCGTTGTTAGTCTCAGGGATGGGCTCCGACTTGTAGCTGGGCTCGATCTTGCCATCGGCAAAGTCCTTGACAAAGTCGTGGATCTCCTGCTCGGTGATTTCCTTGTCCTGGGGGAAGGGGAACTTGGCCAGGCTGGTCTGGTTCTGGATGGCGAACGCGGGCCAGTCGTGCTTGAGGTTGAGGTGGTCGGCCTGGGAAGAGTACTTGGTGGCATCAATGAGCACAAAGCTGATGACACCCTTGTACTGCTTGGCAACAGGGTAGATCTGCTCCTCCAGGGCCTTGCGCGTCTCCTCGCTGTTGAAGAAGGCAAAGCCAAAGGGAAGACCGGTCTGAGCGTACTGCGCGTAGTTCTCGCCAGAGATCTCGCCGAAGAGGGGCACCGAGCTGGCCTTGATGAAGTCACGGAGCTCCTTGGCGTTAATGGCGCCGTCATAGACGTCCTTGCCGTCGTCAAAGGTCTTGTAGACAACGACACCAGCCTCGGCGATGCCCTGCTCGGCAGCAAGCTCCTTGTCGGTGATCACGCCAAATACATAGTCGTCGCGTAGCTCCTTGGCCAGGGACTCGAGCTCGGCGTACTCGGCCGACTCGGTATCCTCGACGAAACCAACAACGACCACGCGGTCGGAAGCCGTGAATTTGGCAAAGTTGTCGGAGGTCAGAGTCGAGAGAGGGGGAAGGAGCTGCTTACGCATGTAGCTGATGATGCCAGCCTCCTTGCGGGTGCCGTTATAGGTGGCAAAGTCACCCTTCTTAGAGATCTTGAGCGTGGGGAAGCCAGGGATCTCCATCTCCTCGCACAGAGCCTGCGCCTCGGTACAATCGAGCTTGGCCAGGGCAATGTTATCTTCCTTGAGCGCGGTGGCAGCCTTCTCGTACTCGGGCGCCAAGTTCTTACAGTGGCCGCACCAGGGCGCGTAAAACTCGATCAGGGCGAGGTCCTGGGCTTCAGTCCACTCCTTAAAGTTCTCGGTGTTGAGAACCTTGACATCAGAGTCGCTCGACTCGGCCGCCCCGTAGGCGAAGCTGGTAACTGCGAGCGCAGCAACCGTTGAAAGCATAATGCGCACAGCGCTGACCTTCATGTTGCAAGTTGTGTATGTGTTTGAAGGGGAGGCTTAAAGCGGGGTGGATGAAAGAGAGAGCAAAGTATGAAACGAAACTAAGCGAATTGCAATGTTTGTTTCTAATGAAAAATGCGTTGAAACAGATGAGAACAGAGCCTGTTGTGCTTTTTTACTCTTTAGCGACGAGCGAGTTAAGTTTTACTTTTACAAGACAAAAAAACAGTTGATATACAAGTGGAAATAAAAGAATGAAATACGCTTAACGGTTGAGGGTGTGCAGCAACAGGCTTGCATTCTCGAGTGCTCTTTTTATACGAAGTTTACGGCTTGCAACCGTCTACCGCCAAACTGTGCCGTTGGCATGCCTCCATGCATCTACACATCCAAAACAATTAATAAATAGCTCTGCTTCTTTGGAGGGGGGCTCTTTTTGGGGCCAATATTTTATCGCCTTGTAGTTTGTCACATTGGGCAGCCTCTTCGTCCAGGAATGCCTGCCACGTCAATGCGGGGATGAGAGAAGGCGGGGGAGACAGCAGCCAATCATAAGCAGCCAAGGGACTCAATAAATCTGCTGATCAGCCGCCCAGGGCTACCCTTTGTTTTTATAAAGGGTTTAACAAAGCGAACGCGTGGTCTCGCATGTGCCCTTTGGCGCTTTGACGACTTAATCCCCTTTTAAGTTCATTTTATCGACACGAATATAATAGGCGTGCTGCACTTAGTCCAGAACAGCTCGTGTTTACTGACCACCAGCAAACCAATTGCCTCTTCAGCTGGACAAGACAAAGCGGACGTTGAAACTCGGCAAATGATGACATATATTGGTAGCAATTAAAAAATTGAAGATAAATACGGCTAGTCGCCTCTGGCAAATGTCTGGGCAACCAGCAGCGGGAAGACCAGCGACACGTCGGCATACACCTTGACAGACTCGGCATCAACCTTGATCTTGCCCCATGAGACAGCCTCGTCTGGCCGTGCGCCCGCGTCACTGCCATCAAACTCCTGGGCTGTGTTGATGTAAACGGCAAAATCGGCACCGTTGCGCATGAGATTGGCATTGCAGATATGATGCTTGATTAGACCACCTCCCAGGATAATCATGCCAGTCTTCTTGGCAAACACGGCCTCACTGTTGACGGCGCGGATGTCCTGAACTACGTCGATGATCAGGCCAGGGTTGCGGAAAGAGTGGAAGTAAAGCATATCGCCCAGCGAGCCGTCGGTAATCGCCGGACAGTATGCCGGGATGTTGTTCTTGTATGCCCAGTAGTAGATGGATTCTGGGTTGTTGATCTCCTTGCCCAGGCGGCGGATGACCTTGGATGGCGTCCACACGATGCCCTGCTCCCTTTGCTCCACCAGCATCTGATCGAGAATGGGCATTACCCAATCTCGAATTTGCAGTAGTTGTCGTTGGGCACAATAAGGTTACCTGTACGGTTCAGACCTTTACTGCGCAGATCGCGACCCTTAAGGTCGAAGTCGCCCAAGTATGTCGGTGCCAGGCACTTGATAAAGTCCTCCTCGATACCGCCAGCTGTCGAGACCAGAACGTCAACAAAACTGTGCTTAACCAGGTACTTTATCGTTTCGCGAATTCCGCTTGACACTAGGTTCGACGTATACCCAAGGAATATCTTGCACTTGACAGTGCTGCGGTACGCAAGATCGCTTTCGTCGGTCTCGCTAGCTCCCTCAGCAAGGGGCTCGTCAGAGAGCCTCCAGGCGCGCATGTGGTTAATAATTTCTATGGCACGTCCGAAGTTGGTCGCCTGAAAACCGGTTGTCAAGTATGAACCGAGCAGGGCATTGTAGTCGATGCCGTTGTCAAAGTCGTAGCCCTTGATCAACTTTGTGTCTTGGGCAGCTGCGCCGACTCGACCAGAACCGCCGACGTGGCGATAGTGGGCGCTGCACTGGCTGCTGCTGTCTGCATGTGTTGTTGAGAATTTGAATTTTGTACGGACATGGTTCAGAATGTTAATTAATGAGGAATGCAAGCGCAAAAAAGACGGAAAAGTAGGGTAGGTAGAAAAATTAAACCACCAAAGTTGTCTGAAAAATAGGCATAAAATAGGCCCAATCAACAGATTAAACCAGATTAGATACAATCTCAAATTGAATTTTTTTTGCACTCTTTAAATTTTTTTTGGCACATCAAGCTTGTACTTTTGGCGTGTTTGTCAAACGAATTCAAGCCGCACAGTGATTATTGCTGGGCTGCCGAATCCTTCTTTCCAATTCTCGCACCAGAAATTTCATTTCTTATTTTTCAGGTGAGTATCGCTAGATTCGACTTTTTTGGTCGTATCCATCAGCAGAGGCGCATCCATCGCAGGATGCTTGTCTAGATGGTGTTGACGGATATTTCCACCCACTTGCAATAGGAAGAGGTGCGAATGCGCATAAATATTTAAATTCGGACACGATGAATTTCAGCCACTAAATTCGAATGGACCCATGCCCAAATTTTAAAAATTATTTTTACCATGGTATTCACAAACTGTAGGACGCGTAAATATAAACAATGGGTGCCTACAAGTATCTCGAGGAGCTGACCAAGAAGAAGCAGTCCGACGTCATGCGTTTCCTGCTGCGCGTGCGCTGCTGGGAGTACAGGTAAGAATTACAATTGCTTGCTTGTTTGCGGGAAAGGGAGTTCCCAAAGTTACCGGCGCCATTGATTAGGCAACTTGGGCTTGCCGCAGCTAGTGATAATTCTTTCAAGGCACCTCGATCTGTATGAGATCGGCTGTGGAGAGAGAGTTTGTCGCTGGCGGTGGCAAAATTTGCGAGCACAGTGCCAGGTAGGGCGAATGCACGGGAATTGGTAGCTTTTGCGCTGCTTTTTTTGGCACTTGCCTCTACCCTGGCCAGCTGCATTACCAACTAGCCACACTGGCGCGGTTGAGGCGCTTATACTGGCCCTTGTTCCGATGATTACACATACCTTTGGCTGCGACGACTTTGTTAACACCTTTATGCTTTTTTACAACTCTGCAAATATATGTATGTCTGTGTGTGATGTTTCGTGCGGTTGTTTTTATTGTGTGCATTCGTCGACAATAGACAGCTGAACGCCATCCACCGCGTTTCGCGTCCGTCCCGCCCCGACAAGGCTCGTCGTCTTGGTTACAAGGCCAAGCAGGGCTACGTCATTTACCGCGTCCGCGTCCGCCGTGGTAACCGCAAGAGACCCAACCCCAAGGGCCAGGTCTACGGTAAGCCCGTCACCAGGGTATCAACGAGCTTAAGCTGCAGAAGTCCAAGCGCGCCGTCGCTGAGCAGCGTGTTGGTAAGCGTTGCGCTAACCTGCGTGTCCTGAACTCGTACTGGGTAACCAGGACGCTACCTTCAAGTTCTTCGAGGTTATCCTCGTCGACCCCTCCCACAAGACCATCCGTCGCGACCCTCGCATCCAGTGGATCGCCAAGGCCGTCCACAAGCGCCGTGAGGCCCGTGGTCTTACCTCCGCCGGTCGCAAGAACCGTGGTGTTGGCAAGGGTCACCGCTTCAACAACACCAGCGGTGGTGGTCGCCACAAGACCTGGAAGCGCAACAACACTCTGTCCCTCCGCCGTTACCGCTAAGCGGGCGACTCAGAGTTGGTGCTTATTTTGCTACTGGCAACGCGATTTTTGGCTGCTCCTTTTTTTTATGTTTGGTCTATTCTGCTACCTTGGCTTGGTGGTCCCAATAAAATTAAATTGCTTTTATCCAACCAAATATTTATTCAAACCGACCGCGAGTGACTTGGTTTATTTGAGAAATACTAAGAGATTTTATCCAGCCAGAACCGTTTTCTGTCGAGGGAAGGCGAGATAGATCCAGTTTTGATCGATTAGCTGACATTCGCTGCTGAATTTTAAGCAAAACAAAAAAGCCAGATAGCTTGCTCGCCGTGTGATTAATTTTTATTTTTATTTTTGGGCATTGGCTTGAGAACACGCTAAAGTAAATAAACGCGACGCATTTCTTTTTCCTTTTCTTTTCTCTTCTCTTCCTCGACACTTTAGTTTATTCCTTTCGTATTTATTTATTCAAAGCAGCCTTGGTTTTTTTTACTCGTTTACGCTTGGCCCCTCTCATTCACTCAATAATTCATTCAAGCAAGCACACAACCTTAAAAAAGTAAACAAAGCATGTCTGGACAAGGTTGGGACGCTGGACAAATTTACACTCGCAACGTGCACAGCGGCGAAGAAATCAAGACGACCGCCCGCAGTTGCAACAGGCCCTGTTTGACTTTATCCAGAACTTCCGCGACGACAATGTGTTCATCTACCGCGACCAGCTGCGGCAGAACCTAGCGGTCAACGAGTACATGCTGAACATCAGCCTGCAGGACCTGGCTAGCTACGACGAGACGCTGTCGCAGCAGCTGGTCAACCACCCAGCAGACATCCTGCCTCTTTTTGAGCTAGCAGCGCGCAACAGCGCGCGCAAGATCGTTGCGCCAGGGTCGATGGGTCTCCAGGACGTGCCGGAGATCCAGGTGATGATTCGGTCAAACACCAATATCGTGAACATCCGCGACCTGGGCTCAAGCCAAATATCCAAGCTGGTGTGCGTCTCGGGAATTGTCATCGGAGCTTCGTCGTTGACATCCAAGGCGACAACCGTTCTGCTGCAGTGCCGCAACTGCCGGCACACCAAGGTTGTGCCTGTGGGTGGTGGGTTCTCAGGCGTGCAGATCCCCCGCGTGTGCGATCGCGAGCAGGTAGCCAACAGCGAGAGATGTCCGCTGGATCCCTTTGAGATTATCACGGACAAGTGCCGGTTTATCGACCAGCAGACACTCAAGGTCCAGGAGGCCCCGGACCTTATCCCCGTGGGCGAGCTGCCTCGGCACACAGTGATGAGCGCCGACCGCAATTTGGCAAACAAAGTGTTCCCAGGCTCGCGCGTCACAATCACAGGCATCTTCACAGTGTACCAGAGCAAGAACATGAAGGGTACTAATGCGGTGGCCATCCGGCAGCCGTACCTACGCGTCGTAGGCATTGAAATCAACAAGAGCGGAAACAGCTTTACCAAGCGTGTGTTCACGGCTGAGGAGGAACACGAATTTGCCGCGTTGGCGCGGTCAGGTAGTATTTACCAAAAGTTTTCCAACAGCATTGCGCCGTCGATCTATGGCAACGAGGACATTAAGCGGGCGGTTTCATGCCTTCTGTTCGGCGGGTCCAAGAAAGCACTTCCCGACGGCATGCGCCTGCGTGGTGACATTAATGTGCTGCTTCTGGGTGACCCTGGAACTGCCAAGAGTCAGCTGCTTAAGTTTGTCGAGAAGGTATCGCCGATCTCGATCTACACGTCCGGCAAGGGCAGCAGTGCGGCCGGTCTGACGGCATCGGTAATCAAGGACCCGGCGACACGCGAGTTCTACTTAGAGGGCGGTGCAATGGTACTTGCAGACGGCGGCGTCGTGTGCATCGATGAGTTCGACAAGATGCGTGATGAGGACCGCGTGGCTATTCACGAGGCCATGGAGCAGCAGACGATCTCCATTGCCAAGGCCGGCATCACTACAATTCTCAATGCACGATCCTCGGTGCTGGCCGCCGCTAACCCGCTGTTCGGCCGCTACGACGACACCAAGGCAGCCGGTGAGAACATTGACTTCCAGACGACCATTCTGTCACGCTTCGACATGATCTTCATCGTTAAGGACGAGCACAACGAGCTGCGCGACCAGACCATTGCCCGCCACGTCATGCAAGTGCACGCCACGCGCGCTGCCGCTGAAGTTGAGGGTGGCGAGCTCAGCCTCGAGACCATGCGCCGCTACGTCACCTTTTGCAAGGACCGCTGCGCGCCCCGCCTATCGGCCGACGCCGCTGAGAAGCTCAGCAGCTTCTTTGTTGCTATGCGCGCGCAGCTTTGGAACATGGAGCGTGACTCTGCCGAGCGCTCGGTAATCCCCATTACCGTGCGCCAGCTTGAGGCTGTCGTGCGCATCACTGAGTCCCTGGCCAAAATGGAACTGGCACCAGTGGCATCGGCGGAGCATGTCGACGAGGCCATTCGTTTGTTCCGCATGTCTACCATGGACGCTGTGCAAAGCGGTCAGAATGACGGGTCTACGCGCTCTGACTTGAGCGCTGAGATGCGGCGTGTTGAGCAAGAGATCCGTCGCCGCTTGCCTATTGGATCACAGGTCTCGGTGCGCGCCATCAAGAACGACTTTGCTGCACAGGGTTTCTCGCCCCATGCTGTTGACCGCGCCTTGTATCTGCTTGTGCGTCAAGAGACTTTGCAGTTTAAGAGCCAGCGCATGGTCATTCAACGCATGGGCGCATAGTTATATATAGTAATATGTGTTCTTTCTTTTTTTTATTAATTTTATATTCATATCTGCCTTTACCTTTGCAAGTGCTGAGAATGAATATGTGCAATGCATTGATATTTGCAAAATATGTAGAAGGTTAATTGAAAAGTGCGTTAAAGAGCAAGCCAATATGTACTGATATAATATCCGTTGAGCAGGCTCGAGACTGCAAATTATGTTGTAGTATTGGAAAATAAAATAAAAAAGGGGTGACAAGCTATGAAGTGTTGGATATATACATTAAATACTAAATATGTGAGGCTATTGGATACATGCCCTGTAATTCATAAAGCCAGACGAGATAAATTGTGTGTTAAGGCCCTATTAGAATACCCCGTGGCTGCAACCAACCACAACAAAAATGGCATTTAGTTTTGTTGTTCAACAGCACCCATCCACTCCCAAACATCCAATCCATATGTAAATGTGTAACCAATCAGAACATTGTTTCGATTGTTTCGCTGCTTGTGATGAGCTTCTTTAGAACTAGATCTGGTTCTGTGAAATCAAAATAGTTGGATAAATTTAAGGTGCTGAATCATCGGGTGTGTTCTATCAAATTATTATGTGAGTCGAAAAGTACGTTTTTTCATAAATGTGGAAATATATATTATTCTGATTGTAGGCGCTGAGTGTATTAGATTTCAAAATATATGCATGTAAGAATTAACATGCAATGCACTCTTATTATGCATATAGGCGCCTTTCAACTATTAGACTTTTTCTGGGTCAGTCTTGGCAAAAACACCAAAAACAATTCAGATTGAAGAACATTCAAAATCACGTTATAAAATGAAATATATATAAATTGAGCTTTCCACATTCCCATTGCGCCCTGCGTGTGCTCACAGTGGCAATGACCATGTCTTCAAAACATGATGGTCCCGGATCAAGCACAAAAACAAAAATGTTTCGAATTCGTCCACCTTATCGAATGGCTTTCTGTAGCTTTTTTGTTTCATGCTTTTTGATGCATTAAAGACGATCCCCTGTGCGAGCTGCAAAATATTGGCCCGTAGCAACTGCTTCCAACTCTGCACCTTGCACTCCCTTTGTTTATCTCCATGTTGCAAAAAGAGGGACCCAATTTGATATGCATAAATATTTTGCCATTGTTCTATTTTCAACCACGCACTCTCTTTGTTTACCCCTTTCTTACTCATTTTTTGTCGGCCATTGACATTGCTGGCACATAGTAAGGGAAAATAACTGCCCATTCGCCCCCCTGGTTTTTACAGGAAGTTGTCAACCATTGTTTGATGAAATATGGATATCAACGCCCTCTATTTGTGAAGATCACGGAGGCAGAAATGGTTGCAGTTTGCTCGATGTTTCGGATGAAATATTTTTTATCCATTGTTTGTTTTGACTTTTTTATGTGCATGTAACTTGATGTGCAAATAAACCTTTTAGCTGCCATGATTGATGCAGAACCACCAGAAAAAAGAATAATTTATTAGCCAACACATAAAGAAATTACGATATTACCCACCCTCCTTACTCGCACTGCTACCATTGACAAAACAAAGAAAACATATTGCTGCTGCTACTTTGTTCTATTCTGGCTCAGCCTAAACGTGAGCCTGGCAATTTTTTATACAAAAAGCCACAATTATTTTTGGCTGCAAAAATTTATTCTGACTGATATCAAATTTTTCTGTATACAAATGGTCTGTCCACCAGCGACCGTGGTTTGAAAAAAGCATTGTAAAAATGACCGCTGATCAATATGTCCATACTTTGAAATATTATAACGGATATTCGGATATTGACAATCTTCAAAAATAACATGTGTATGAAGAAGGCATGCTTTCGCCAAAAAGGGGAATATACATGCAACGAGAAAGCCCTCTTGAAACTTGTACTCCGCTCCAGCCAAACCCGAAAGAGACGACCCGAAAAGCACATTATTTTTTGTGAGGAGCAAAGAGGAGCGCACTTATTTTTGCACAGCTCAGCACAGCACAAAACAAAAAAGAGCAGAAATAAATACCAGACATCTCCCACCCCACTCCTTCCACCGTCTTTCATCCTTGTTTTTTTTAACATCTCAAGCAAAGTTTTCTACAACACCACCAACACCATCACCAGCACCAGCACTACCCAAATATCTTGTCTTTTTTAGCACACCCGCCATCCTCTCACCTTTACACTTTTTCCCGAGTGTTTTTTATTTTCGCCCAAATTATTTACCACATATATTTATAACATATCTATATTGTTTTATAACATTTATTACTCCCCCACCTTTTAAGCATCTTTTTGATCTTTCCATTTTTAAAATGTCTTCTATCAGCGTTGTTTGCACTGTTATGCGCGCGATCATCGCCACACGCCGTGACCAGGATTACTCAGGCTTTGTCACACCTGCCGCTGCAACAGCTGAGGCCTTCGAAGACGTCAGCACTCATGCAGAAAAGCCAAATGCTTTGCATTGCCTACCAAGCTCCTTCCAAGGCCGAGTCTGCTTTAATTGACATGCAGGCCGCACAGTTGAGCTCCGAGAACAAGCTGCTAGACAGCCAGGCATTTTAAATTGCGGCCACTTATGCTGCGGCCAAGCCTCCCTGCGTGCATTGTCAAGGCAACCGATGCCTTCATCTGCAAGTTTTCCACCCGCCCTGAGCTGCCGCACGCCAAGGTCCAAGCC